TGCTACATTGATGTGCGCAAGGAAAAGGGGACGCTTTGTCCTTCTGTAACTGCCGTACCCTTCCTCCTCCGCCTCCCCAGTCTGCAGAGCCAGCAATGTAAGCTAGCCAATCCAGGAACACTCAGCCTCCTGTGATTTCAACAAATTTATCTCTTTAAAACCAACTTTCCTCTTCATAATCAGCCCTCCAACCCCTCCACTTTCTCTACTTTTGCCATCTTGGGGAGCCGGAGGGGAAACGTCTGGAGTCCTTGTGGCTGCAGGGCCATCTGAGGGCTGCACAGGTTCCTCTGGGTCCTTGCAGGTCTCTTCAGTGATGGAGCCTCTGTTCACGAAGTCATTCCTGCCCTGCTGGCATCCTAAGGCCTGAGAACTTGTGTGTTCCCTGTGTGCAAGGTCAGATCACAGTCCCTCTCCCTCAGGCCCCATCATGGCTGCCGCTCTCATCCTCCACAGGGCCCTGGCTGTCTGCCTCAAGGCAGCCCCTTCCTTCCCACTGTAGGAGCCCGTAGGAAGCTCATCTTCCAGTACCACCACCAATATTTCATGAGCCCACTTCTGGATGCTCTCTGCTCCATACAGGAGCTTGGGGAGACCTGGACCCCCTTCAGGCCTCCCTCTGAAGCCTTTCCTCGGGGTCTGATTCAACTCTGATATAGCTGCCCCAAATTATTAGGGGCCAAAGGGTCAGAGACCACAGGCAGCTTATGAGGCTCCTTCTCCCTGGATCCCAACTGAGGAACAAGCAAAATCCAGCATTTGAACCTCAGGGAACTTCAGTTTCTAGAAATTTCTTCTGTCTCCACAAAATCTGGGCTACTCTGTCACCATGTTAAAGAGGTGAGCTGATCAATGATCAATGATCTTTTCGTTCTAGATCTATACTCTTTTCCCTAGGGTAATTAGGCTTAGCTAAGAAAATGAAGATACAGGGCGCCTGGCTGGCTCAGTCGTTAAGCGTCTGCCTTCGGCTCAGGTCATGAGCCCAGGGTCCTGGGATGGAGCCCCGCATCGGGCTCCCTGCTCCGTGGAAGCCTGCTTCTCCCTCTCCCACTCCCCCTGCCTGTGTTCCCTCTCCCACTGTGTCTCTCTCTGTTAAATAAATAAAATATTTTTTTTTTAAATGAAGATACAAGGGAATGCAGTTTTAGTGGGAACTGAAAAACATGAGTTTCTTATTCTCAAAATAATGTCCCCTTATATATACCAGTGCTGATCTATAAAGTGAGAGGATTGAGACAATGCACCGGTGGGCAGGCAATGCTTATTTTCAACCAACTACACAAAATGTTTTATGCCCAGATACACATATGGCTGATAGTTATCCAGCTTGCCCATAGGAATTTCATCCTATGATTTTTTTCTTTTTCACAACACAAAAGTTTCTTAGAATTCTCCACCATCTTCATAATGCTCTTGGTAATCTGTTTGAGTTGCTGTCCAACATTTTCATACTCAAGGTCCCTTTGAAGTACAAGAGTATATTCTTCAGGCTGGAGATTCTGCAGATCCTCAGCTTCTCTACATGCTGAGTCCAGGTTTCCGACAGACTGCCCTTCTCCCCCTTCCTCTGAATTCCGCTGGAAATCTGCCATCCCCTACTCAAGTACCATGTACTTATCTACTGTTGTCTCACCAGGAAGTAGATTGTGTATTCTTCTCAATGTTTCTTAGCCCTTTGGGGGCGTGGATGCCAATGAAATTCTAATGAAAGCTGGTACCTGTCCCCCTAGAAAAGTGCATGTAAATCGAAGTCTGCAAACTGTATCAAGGATCCACAGAGGCCAACAACAGACCCGTGTTAGCTGAGACCCCAGCTTAACATCTACTGTCCCAGCTCTCATGGGGACGGACATGAAAATCAGTACGTGGGGAAAAAGCGTAAGTTTATAACACAGAGTAGGGATGGCTTGATCTTTGTAGGAGGAAAACACAGACCTATTTTTCTTGGAGATGTAAATATTTGTTAATGTACTTGATAAACATTACAGGACCAAATATTACTCAGTAAGTTTTGAAGCTCTGGCGGCTTTTGATAAGGATGCTTCCATCTCTGTTCGTGGTATCACATCTCCTGGTGTCAGATCCCTGTGCGTATGCCTATAGTGTTTATTGAATTCCAGGGCCATCATTTAGCATTAGTACAATTCTCAACACTCAGATAAAACTTGACATATATCCTGATAATCTCTAGGACTTCATCCTTTAAGATTCCACTCAGCTGTCACCTATTCCTGTTTCTCTCCCAACAACATCCATCCAACCAACTAGGTGAGGGTTCCCCCTGAGTCTCATCAAACACTCATGTGTGTGCCTTGTACACAGTGTGTCAAGATGATGTCTCTCGGGCGCCTGGGTGGCTCAGTTGGTTAAGCGACTGCCTTCGGCTCAGGTCATGATCCTGGAGTCCCGGGATCGAGTCCCACATCGGGCTCCCTGCTCAGCAGGGAGTCTGCTTCTCCCTCTGAACCTCTTCCCCCTCGTGCTACCTCTCATTCTCTCTCTCTCAAATAAATAAATAAAATCTTAAAAAAAAAAAAGATGATGTCTCTCCATCACGCCATGAATGCTGCCAGAGCAGGAGGGTTGTCACTCCCACCTGTGAGCTTCAGTGACCAGCACAGGCCCAGCACATAGTAGGCACTCAGTACATGTTCGCTGAATGTGGACTGAATCGCCATTGACCCAAGTTTTCGAAGGTTCTTCCAAGGTAAAGAAATAGGCCAAATCTAAAGAAAGCAAACTGGGAACTAAAATGAATTGGTATTTCAGTGTGTTAAATCTGTTGAGTGAGCTGGTAAGAGAGGGTTCCTGAGTGTGGGTTTGGGGCTAGTTGCTGATTTCTGGGCTAGTTTAATGCACACCACATGATAGCAGTGAAACTATCTGGTAGACAAGCTCAGCTCCTTAAGCTCATCCCTAACCCTCCACAGTCTGACCCAGGCCCATTTCTCTTCCATCCCAAGCCCCCCACTGTCCCATTTCTAAGCCTTATTCCTGTAGCTACACCAAGCAGTCTCATGCACCCTGGGTCTTACTGGCCCTGCTACTTCCTCATCAAGAATGCCTGACCCCACGTCTACATATTAAAACTTTCCTCATTTTTCGAGCCTGTTCAGAGGCCATTCTCCCCATTGAGCTTCACCGTGTCCCCAGACAAAAGAATCCTCCTCAAGCATGCTGGGAGCACTGGGCACCTCTCATGAGGCTTTCATCACTGATTCTTGCTCAGGACCAGAGAAACAGTCATTTCCAGGGGACTCTTTTTCTTTTATCAACTCAGAGGCTCTTATTTTTCACTTTTGTGTCATCTGTTTCCTTCTACTCACCTTTATATAGACAGCTGCCTTCAGCATTTGTCCAGTTACAACGGTATCAAGTAAATTTGATGCACAAACATCATAAAGAATGAAAGACTCTGTCGCACCTTTTTTTAGCACAACAAGATGGTCCAGATTCTTGAGGCAAAATGTTATATGATGAAGCCCTTCCTGTTGAATGATTAACTGAAGGAAAATACCATATTTCCTTTTGTCCTCATAAATACATTGTTTACTCATCGATTCTTGAGTTTGAGAAAATTCACCTTCAGACACTATCATCTGGCGGCTCTTAGCCTGAGACTTTACTTATATAATCAACTTACTGTCATTGTAAGAGTCTAAAGAGTTGCTCTCCTTCTCTTTGAGTTCATCTTCTGAGTCATCTAATAATTGTGAAATGTTGTTCTCTGTCACTTTTCTTCTCTTTGCAAATATGAAAAATTTTGAATTCTCAGCTGTATGCAATGAGCTAAAAGCAGACTCAAAATAAATGATGATTTAGTCCGTTACTGAATCATCCTTCCAGGCCAATCCATTCTTCTGTTTTATTATTTTGGTCTCTTTTAGCATAATTGAGAATAATTGATGAGTAATGATGAAAGATAATTCCCAGGATGGTGAAAGAGCAAGATATTTCAAAAGATAGAAAAATAAGATCACAAAGATGCCATCATGTATCAAAGAGACCAGCTGTATCAAAGAGACCAGCGAACCCACATAGTAATTACAAAATAGAATGAGTTTTATTTTATTTAAAAAAAAATAAGTAAATTTTCTCTGTGTTCTTTGGAAACCCTTCAAGAAGGAATAAAAGCAATGAAATATCAAGCCTTACAAATAGAGCAACTCAAAGAGGAAACTCAAAAACTAAAGTCAGGTCTAGTGGACCCTGATGGTGTACTAAGGGTTATCGTGTTAAAATTCCATACATGTCTGTCCAACTTACGGCCAAGGACATATTGAGAGTCACCATTTGCCTGTCTTCCTGAAGTTCCCCAGGCCTGGTCAGGGATCTACTCCTATAAGAAACTTTGGAGGTGTTCACCAAATGGATAGTAGGAACCGAAGGTGTAATAATTAAGCTGGGACTGTAATTATCAAGGGAATGTCACACAGTATTGCTTACCTAAGTGCAAGGACCTTGTGCCATCTCAAAATCTTTGCCCTTAGCCTAGAATACTGTTCATCTTTCTCTCTCCCTTTTAGGTGGGTAACCGCTATGCTTTGAACATCACTTCCACTTTGAACGTCACTTCCTCAAGGAAGCTTTCCCAAACTTCCAGCCCTGCCATTAAGTACCCCTTCATGGGCTGTTAGAACTAGTGTGTCACCTCCACGGGGGGGGACTGCCAACCAGGTGTGCTGAGCCATGTACCGTCAGCACACTGCTGCCCATGGCGGGCGCTCAGTAAGAGCATCTTGTGAATGAAAGGCCCTGAATGAATTCAAACCTGTTTCTGAGGACAGATGCTCACCTGCCTGGCCCCTTGAACAAAGTGTTAAGGTGCATGTATTTGAGAAAGTAAAAGTGAAAAGTAAAAGTCCACGTGTAGAGAAAGCAGATCTAGTTCAAAGAGCTTGATTTTCCTGGACTGTCCTTTCCTGGGGGTGATTGGGAACAAGCAGTATGACCGTGGCAGAGGAGTCCTCGGCTCATGCTTCTGGCTTGCATTTAAGGTGTCAGGTGATGTGTCAGAGACTGACATCAGCAATGAGCCTCGGCACCCTCAGGCCGGCGTGGCCACCACCGAGGAGAAACTGAGAAACAGGCTGTATGAGTTAGCGATGAAAATGAGTGAGAAGGAGACGTCTTCGGGAGAAGATCAGGAGTCAGAGCCCAAGACAGAGTCTGAGAACCACAAGGAAAGTCTGTCCTCTGAAGAGAACAGCCAGGGCGTCCAGGAAGAGCTGAAGAAGGTAAGTGCCGTGAAGCTGCCTGCGGGCAGCTCGGTGTGAGCAGAGGGGGAGGGGGAGGCAGAGGAAGTTCTGTATTTGTACAGAGGTGTGCTGGGCCCCCCACGAGCTGTCTCTCAAATGCCCATCCCGTGCATGCGGGAGAACCCCAGAAGCCCCTGCTGATTAGCGCTGAGTGGTTCAGTCGGGGAGAGGGCCCCGCACGTCCCAGGCCTCCAGAGACCTGTCCTCTCCTTCTACGAACTATCCTTCCCAAGACAGCCCTTCACTTTCAAGTCTATAATTAATGCTCACCGCCTCTCTCATTAGGAAAGGCCACGTTACTGCCTTCCCTTACCCTTTCCCAGAGGAAATTTGCCTGTGGGCTGAGAGTACTCGCCATCCCTCTTTTAGTCAATGGTGATGCTTCAGACCATGGTCTTTGTGCTAAAGGTGGCCCGCTACATCATTTATCCCTGCAGTTTGCAGATTTAGGTTTGTCTTAGCCTCAAAATCGTTTTCCAAACAAACCATATGTGGAATCCTGGTGTTTTAAACAGGTAAAAGTCCCCAAAACCCCAACCACTTGATCTCCAGCCCCAAACCACCCCTCCAAGTACCCAGGGACATTGCTAGGAAACCACAGAAGGAAGAACCCCTGGCCGAAAGGGGGTCCCAGGCCCCTTGCCCCCCAATAAGTGCTCTGCCCCTTGTCTTTCCCTCTACAGCTTCTCAAAGCACATGCATGCTAGACTCGGCCACGTTAGAGTCAGGGTATCCCTGCTGCTTACAGTGGAAGAGAAAGAAGCTAACATTTGTTGAGTGCCCAGTGCTTTGCTTATGTTAGTGAATTCATGTCATAGAGACCTACTGAAGTAGATGCAGAGGCTTGTCCTGAAGGTACTTACCCAAGGCCCACAGCTAGTCAGCTTCAAAGTTGGGGCTGCATCACAAACGTGCTTGGCCTCAAATCACAGGCTCCTTCCCTTACAACAGCTGCCTCTCCTGTAATCAGATAAGATCTTGCCTGGAAACATCTAGAATTTCTTTGCACTTGTGGCCAGTTTTTTCCCTCTTATGAGAGTACATTGTATAAGCTCACAAGTTCCCGGCAGCCCACGTGAATGGGGCAATGAGCCCCTTCGTCTGCTCAACAGCCAAGCTGGGGTGCTACATAAGAGGAGCCGGGCCAAGCCAGCAAAGAGCACAGATGGTCAAGAGCCGGCCCTGAGGAACGTGGAGGCCATCTTCCACGGCTGAGCCCCTGATCCCTCCAACAGCTCACACTCTGCCTTTCACTCATTCCCATCCCCGCCTCCATAACCACTGAGTCCTCATACTCCTCAATCCGTCAGGTCCTCTGCCCGTGGACAGGGCACACATCTGTCCCCTGCCATGTCTGTGGGCTGGAGCCTGGAGCTTGGCCTTCACAGGCAGCCCCTCCCTGGGATGTGGGCTCCAACCCATTGCTTCCTCAATGGTAATGGGCTCTGCGCCTCTCTGTTACTTGAACCAATACCCCATGATAGTCACATTTGTCTGCCAGAACTCAGAGCCAGATGGTAAGTGAAGAATATCACATTATTTCCTACAACAGCTCTGCATCCTACTGGCTTTGCTGCCTGATGGTCACAAGGCTCCCCAAACCCCTGCTGTTCCAGCAGCCTGCCAGGCCATGATGAGTCACGGACTCCCACCCCTTGTCAGCCTGCCCGCCTCATCTTCTGGAGGCACAGCTACCAATCTGCACTGTGCTCTCTTGGACAGAACGTGAACAGGGGAAGGAGGGGCCGGTGGGGAAAAAAAAAATCTAAGACAAGCCCCCATCCTGCCCCGTGCCCTCTCTGAGCAAGAAACTAGGAGAGTTGCTTTTATTCAAGCTCCCAAATGTGTCAGTTTCTCAAAATTTAAGTCATTCCCCAGCCTACCATGAATCAGTGCATTAAAATATCCATCAGATATCACTTACTGTATGTAAAAATCCGGGTAGCAAACTGAAAAAGATAAGTAACATATATTTTCCACATCAGGCATGGGTTAGTCTGGGATGGGAACACGGAAATACAGGTTTATATCTTCAGTATTATTTAGAAGCAAAAAGATATAGAGATAGGCTTCAAGGTAACACTGAATTTGAAACGCAACCATGCAATTTGCAAACTCTGCAAGCTTCGGCTAGTGTCCTAACTCACTGCCAGTGCTTAGAACAAGCCGGGGTCATTTTTTGCCTCCCACCAGACCCTGTCCCCCGGCTGCTCTCCCTGTCCCTCCAGACCCTGCATGGCTACTCCAGTCCTTCCTCCACTCAGCAGCCGGAACTGTCCTGCAGTCCCCGAGCTTGGTCCCAGCACTGTGACAGGCCCACACCTGCCGTGTTTTTCACCTGATCCCTGGGACCCAGCCCCGGGCCTCATGGTTGATTACATGAACATATCTTGGCCTCATCTGTAAAATGAGGATAATCATACCCCCTGATAGAGTTGTGAGGGTTGAATTGTACATGATAGCATTCAGCACATAGCAGGAACCCAGCAAATACCGCATCCCCTATAACAACCTCAAGGAAAATAAACTTCACGGCTGTGAGTTAACATCCATCTGCTGGTCAGTACCAGCTTTGTACCTATTTCCAGGCAACACCTGGCATGTCTAACATAGGTCTGTAACCACATCTGGGGCTTTGTCATGCTAGGCAGAATCTAAGCGGGAAGACACTGCATGAGAATGCCCCACGTTCCCATCTTCAGGATCAGACTAACTGACTTCCCCTGTGAGCCAACCACAACTAGTTTGTACAGTACAGGTGTGCACACACACACAATGTCCGCACACGGCATGGTTTGGGCATGGAACTGGGCTCATGTAACTATTTCAGAAGTGGTCCGTGCTCCCCTAATCTCTTTACCCTGGCAGTGCACACTGGCCCAAAGTCCAACTGCCTAAAGGCCCCTGATGAAGCAGGAGCTCCTCTTCCTGTGCAGAAGGCAGGCAGGCCGGGGAAGGAGAGAGAGAGCCCTGCCTGGGAGCAGCCCTAACCAGTGACTGCCGAGAAGAAAGTCAATACCCCAGCTATTTGGCCTCCATGGGCGTGGTGACTCTGGCGCCGAGCTACACACTGACTCCCCAAGTTCCCCAGCCAACAGAGCTCTAGGCTCCCGCAGTGATGAACAGTCCTCCTTGACTCCCTTCCCTCCCCTGCCCCACGTCCCCCTCCTCCACCACTGTTTCCCAGGATCGCCTCCCAAATGAACTAAATCCCTGTCTCGGGTCTGCTTCTGGGTGAAACAACTGTCACTGTCCCCCTGCCTCCACCCCTGGCCCTGCTCTCCAGGAGCCAAAGCAGAAGAATGTGCATGTTCCCACAGACACTTGACATCAGTGGCTGTTTCGTGTCCTTAATATGACAACCCATGTAAGAACAGGGGCTTCAGAATCCTGTCCAGCCTCAGAAGAACCATTTTAGAAACACACTTTATCTTGACTGAAATCAGCCCTTTGCTGTAGGCAAACTTGCCCTATAGGTGGCTCACTTTCTCTGGGGGTTGGAGGGATAGTTACCATCATCTGAATTTTTACCAACAGAAGAGCAAGCTTGCAGAGCTTGGGGCAAGCCCAGAAACCTCTTGGGGACTGGATTCCCAAAGAGTCGTTTTTTTCTTTTTTTTTTTTTAAAGATTTATTTATTTATTTTTGAGAGAGTGAGAATGAGAGAGAGAGAGAGCACATGAGAGGGGGGAGGGTTAGAGGGAGAAGCAGACTCCCCGCCGAGCAGGGAGCCTGATGCGGGACTCGATCCCGGGACTCCAGGATCACGACCTGAGCCGAAGGCAGTCGCTTAACCAACTGAGCCACCCAGGCGCCCCAAGAGTCGTTTTTTTCTTTAAGTCATCTTATTCCATCAAACCTCAGGGGTCAGCCCTCTAAACCATGTGATCTTTAGAGCCCAGAAGTGAGCACTTGCTTCTCCTCTACCATTGGACAGATGGCCATGACAATGGTTCTGGGAGAAAGTCCTGGCCAAAGCAGTTCTTAGAAGTGTCTGCCTCTAGGTATGCAAGGACAGCATTCCGGAAAGAAGGAGCAAAAGAATGGCTGAGAACTCCTGGCCTGACTTTAGAGACTACGTTCAGGGGCTGGGTCTCCCACAAGTCCCATAATCTTCCCAGGCTTGGAGCGGTGGTGCCCCAGGTCCCTTCTGGCTCGAAAATCCCCTGGTTCTAGATATGTAATAGATTAGATAGATTTTTATGTTTCCTGACCTAAGTACCCTTTATGACACTGTTTATATGACAAAAGATATCCCACATATCAAGCTCTTCGAACATAAGTGTCTGTTGAAGGCCCAAATTGGTAAGTTCTTACATTATAGTCAAATTTGTATAGCCGGTATCCTGAAAGCATTTTATTTAAAGTGCCTTTGTTTATTACCATTACAAGTAGCTGGATCATTGGGCTTTGCTTTCACAAAGGAGTCACAGACCAGCAGCTATCTCCCCTATGTATAGTTTCATGGAACAATTCTCATCAAAGTATTGAGACTTCTCTCAACTATTAAATGTCTTTTTCCCCAAACAAGAGATAAATTTATGCATCTTCTCCTGGATGCTCCCCATTTACTAACACCAAGGAACAAGGATACACAATCCTGGTCCATGATCAAGGAGACAGATCTATGGACTGTTCCAAAATACCCAGAGCCTTGGCTTTCTGAAGTTTAATGTGCTCATGAAAACCTTTTCGTTGATATCAGTGTTAACATAAAGTCAACTTTGTCTGCATGTGTCTCACCCCTGTAAAATAACACACCGTTCACATAAGGATTCGGTGTCTTTCATCCCAGGTCACATTCTATTTCAGAAGAGTGTCTTCATCTCCAGTTGGTGCTAAAGAGAATATAGTGTTAGGTACTGACTGGTATCTTACAAGTGATTGATCTCAGTAGGGCTATGCCTATTGAAGAATTAACACCTCTTTGCTGACTGTCCATTTAACTGTTGCCCTGGGGGGGGGGGGGAATGAGCTTT